CTCACACTCACTCACTCTCACACTCACTCTCACACTCACACTCACTCTCACACTCTCACTCACACTCACACTCACTCTCACTCACTCTCACTCACTCTCACTCACACTCACACTCACACTCACACTCACTCTCACACACTCTCTCACTCACTCTCACACACTCTCTCACTCTCACACTCACACTCACACTCTCACTCTCTCACACACTCCCTCACACTCACTCTCACACACTCTCACACACTCCCTCACACACTCACACTCACTCCCTCACACACTCCCTCACACACTCCCTCACACTCCCTCACACTCACTCTCACACACTCACTCCCTCACACACTCCCTCACACACTCACACTCACTCCCTCACACTCACACTCACACTCACTCTCACACTCACTCTCACACTCACTCTCACACTCACTCTCACACTCACTCTCACACTCACTCTCACACTCACTCTCACACTCACTCCCTCACACACTCCTCACTCTCACACACTCCCTCACACACTCCCTCACACACTCACACTCACACTCACACTCACACTCACTCTCACTCTCACACTCACACTCACACTCACACTCACACTCACACTCACACTCACACTCACACTCACACACTCTCACACACTCCCTCACACTCCCTCACACTCCCTCACACTCCCTCACTCTCACACACTACCACACACTACCACACACTCACTCACACACTCACACACTCACACAGCTTTACATTAGATCATGTGTGTTTGACTCACATCCACCAGCCAAACGTCATCCATCCTGCTGTCTTTAAACCTGAACAAAACACAGGACACACAAGATTTGCATTTACTGGAGAAAATAACAGGGAAGCCTACAATAGAAACAGAAAAGTTATCAAGTGTGCTGCATCCACTGCACTGGAAGCGGTTCCGTACTGATAAGCTCTCAGTGTTTATGTGCAGATCTGTGTGTAACGTTTACATGTACAAAAGAGTTCGGATAGATGCTGAAACGTACAATATGGACAAAATCACAATAAAATGTAATTACACTTAAGGTTGCAAAGGGGTGGAATATTTCCGCTACATTTCCGGAAACTTTCCAAAAAATCCTGGAATGTTTCTGAAATTTACTTTAATTTTACCTTTTTGCATCCCTAATTACACTATACCATAGATATTTCTGAGCTGCTATTCGCTCTCAGCAGAAGTAAAGGAGTTGACTGCATTAAATGCGATTGAAAGCAATCTCACTGATCACACATTCGAAACAATCAACTGAATAACTCCATGAACTGAATATTCACAGATTAAATAATGAGTTTGAGGCTCACGAGACACGACTACACTTTCTGAGATGTTAACAGAGGCGTTCACCGCTGGAGCCCGTGCTGTAGTCTATGCCACGATCCCGATGGACCCTACACAGAAAACCTGTTGGGATGCTCCTGAATAGTATTCGGACCAAATTTGGGGATCTAGGACCAACTCTATAGTGCCACCTCCACCAGTTCAAAAATTCACTTTTCTGTTGGCTATAACTTTTGAACCCTTTGTTCAATAAATATTAGTTTACCTGACGACTCTTTTGAATGCACTCTGTCCATCTCCTCATGTTGTGCGATCGTGTGGCTTCTCACACGGAGCCGTGTTTGGCTCGGAGCGGATCGACACACTGAAGACCGCGAGGTTGTGGGTTCGACTCCCGTGTGGTGCACCACTATAACAGAACACGTCGAGCTACGGTTCCGTCCTTCTCTTCTTCAGCCAAGCATTGCTCTATTCTATCAACCTCTCGTCTTGCAAATACACACTTTTGGTTCATTTTGTGTTCATTCTTCTGTCTGTTCTGTGCTTCTCTGGCTCTGGCTCTGCATTGTCCTTCAGCATTTAATCTTGCACATACACTCATGATATTTAAACAAAAATACTGAAATAGATTTACACTGGAGTGATAATGTTTGCCATACAGCAGACGCAGAGACAGGTTTTCTCCAGTGAGTGCAGTGAGCCCATGACAAATTAATACATCATGCAAACATGTTGAAGATGTGCATGCTGAAAATCCTTTTTTTTTTTTTATTAAACTGATCTGTTTATATTTTTATTAAATATAATACAACCTTTGACTTTTACTCAAACAGAACAGCTTTTAAACTTTCATAAATTCATCAGTACAGAAATGAAAACTACTTGTCAAGCAATGTCATGAGGTTTAATGAAAAGCACAGCAGCGCTGTAATCAAGGCGGGTTTGTAAGAGAAATATATCAGCATCAGTAAATGCTGAACATGCAGCTGTCATTTATGAAGGATATGAACTCCATCAATGCATCGGATCAGATCTGTACACAGCTTTCCCTCACTCATACTGCAGTAAACTCAAGACTGTTCCCAGCGAGCCGCCACTCAGTTCTCATAATATTGCTCACATCGTGAAAATGACGTTGAAGATGTGCATGCTGAAAATCCTTTTTTTTTTTTTATTAAACTGATCTGTTTATATTTTTATTAAATATAATACAACCTTTGACTTTTACTCAAACAGAACAGCTTTTAAACTTTCATAAATTCATCAGTACAGAAATGAAAACTACTTGTCAAGCAATGTCATGAGGTTTAATGAAAAGCACAGCAGCTGTAATCAAGGCGGGTTTGTAAGAGAAATATATCAGCATCAGTAAATGCTGAACATGCAGCTGTCATTTATGAAGGATATGAACTCCATCAATGCATCAGATCAGATCTGTACACAGCTTTCCCTCACTCATACTGCAGTAAACTCAAGACTGTTCCCAGCGAGCCGCCACTCAGTTCTCATAATATTGCTCACATCGTGAAAATGACTTCGAAAGAATATATTAGAGGAAGGAATATCTCACGTGTCATCGAGCTCCTGCACCAAAGCGCACGCGGGACTGAAGAGAAGAGAAGAGAAAACTGCAAACACACACAATCACTCCATCAGACGCCGATCTGATGTATGATGACTGATATAAAAGATATTTAGAGTCTGTACCCGCTGTCAGCAGCGCCATGGCTCCGAACGAGAAGAGCACCAACAGGAAATGCGAGCGGCGGCGGCGCATGCGCAGTGACAGTCTACGGTCAGCATGCGTCACGCTGCGTCCTCCGGATCTCATTCCCTATAGAGTGCATGACACGCAGTACACTACATAGAGAAGCACTGAGCGAAGATGAGAGAATGCGGACACTACGTAAATAATTCGCGAAAGTTTCACATTTATAAAATGCAATGGTCTTACTCCAAAACAACATTCTCTTACTTACCTCACAAAAATAAATAAACAAATAAATATAAATAATAATAATAACAATAAAAAATAATGACTTAAGAGTAAAGGTAAAAGTTGACAACACTGTAAGCACACATAATATAGTTGCATAAATTGGAATCATTTTATCATAGCATTGGACTCTGTAAATTATTTATTTATTTATTTTGTATTTATTTTTTCCTTTTGAATAAAATTTCTTGTTGTACAGTATTGTTCTTGGCCATAGACTGTATGTTCTTAGTATTAAAATAATAATAATAATAATAAAAACTTCTAGTTTTGGGACGGTCGTCCCTGCCTGTCTATGTATTTGCATACCGTGGCGAGTTTGGGGCGTGGCTACAGTAGCAGGCGGAGCCAGAGGGTGTTTAGCGGATCTGGAAAATTAAACTAATTAAGATTGTGTTTCAAAAGCGCGTCAAAACACATAGAGACAGACAACATGGGCAAAGATTGGCAGTGTTTTTACAAGATGGAGGAATTTGATGGAATATTTGGGATTCACTCGATACTATGAACTTGCAGAGTTTTTTCTCGACAGGAAAATATAATATATATATATATATATATATGTTGGAGATTTTTTTAACCTGTTGAGACATGCAATCACTTTTATAGAGCAGTGTAGAGTGTTGCTGTCGGGTGATCTTGTGGTTGCTCTGACTGCATTCACCTGTGGACACAATACAAAAAGAGCGCGCAACACAGAGGACAGAGCTCGAGGTGGTGACTAGTGCAATGGTGGGCTTGTCTTGCGGTCTCTCAGGGTTATAGGCCCTCCGGAGACGAAGACAGATTCCCAAACCTGCTGCTGCTGCTGAAGAGCTGCTGCTCGATCCGAGTCTTTCAGCGGAGAAACTGAAAATCCTGTCTGGATCAGACGAGTTACAAGAAGTGTGGTCACTGGAGATGTGTGTCGACACCCGAGAGGAGACTCTGGACAACTTCGGAATCTACTTGCCCAAACTTACACAGCTGAAGATGAGCAACAGCCTGATCTCATCCGTGCGAGATCTGGGAACCGGCTTCTCCCTCCTGCAGGTCTTGTGTCTGGCTCGATGTGGTCTGACCGACCTGGAGGGGATTTCTGCTCTTTCCTCCTTAAAGGAGCTGTATGCGGCATTCAACAGCATCTCAGACCTGAGTCCAGTCAGTTTGCTGGAGGATCTGGAGCTGCTGTATCTGGAGGAGAACGAGGTTGAAGATCAGGCTCAGTTGTGGTATTTGGGCCGTTGTGTGACGCTCAGGACACTTTCACTGGAAGGAAACCCTGTGTGCACCTGCCCCGCTCCAGGAGCTTCTGAGGTCTCGGGCTACAGCTACAGGTATGCAGTGCGTGAGCTGATCTTCCTCGATGACGCTCCTGTTGAAGAGGACAAACCTTAACGCTGCAGAGCTTCACTGCAGGACTGGACTCTTCTCAGAGAATCCATCAGAGACGGCCTGGAGCTCACAGATGCAGACACAGGTAAAGACAAACAGCAGCTTCTGGAGACTGTCTCAGCAGCACTCCATGTGTTTAAGAGCGGCGTCAGACCTGCTTCAGCTCGGCCTGGAGATCTGAGAAGCCGTCCAGACAGCGCCAGACCTCTCACTTCCTGCAGCGGATCAAGACCAGGATCAACCGGCTCCAACATCACCGTCCTGAACCACGAGGCCAGCGATCTGACCAACGGTGTTGGTCGAGTTCTCTGTGGGAATCCACTATAGGCTGCTCGAGCTCGAAGACAGAAAATAAAGCTCCAAAACTCTAGCTCTCAAACTCGTCCCAGCACAGGGATCAGTAACTTCATTCCTGAACACACATTTGAGCATGAAGAGTGGAGCAGCTGGGATCACAGGGATGTTTTTACTGAACTCAGAAGCTGGAGGATTGAGCACAACAAACGTCTGTTGGTTATTGAGAAGGAGCGGCAGCCGCAGGTGATGAGAATCCACCACAGCAATGATGAAGATGACGATGAAGGCAGTCACAGCCATAGTTTCAGCAGCGATGACATCACTAGAGACACAAGCTCTCCTGATTGGTTCGTTCAGTGTCCCGCAGCAGAATCTGCAGAGACGTTGAGACTCAGCTCTTCATCAGGCTGTTCGATGTCTCCCTCTCCTCCACCCAGATCACACAGCTCCGCACTCGGAGACTCAGAGCTCATCCTGCAGACGTCAGTAAAGCCAGAGCATCACAGGAGACTCATGGGACTGAGAGCATGATGACTGTAAGATCTCAGACTGCGTATCCTTAAATCATCCACAAACCTCACAGACCCTCCACCAGTCCTCTTAGAGCACAATGGTCAGAAGCTACTGAGGATCATCAACACTCAGACATCCAACAGAAACCAATAATAGGCTCTGAAAAACTGATGCCCAGATGCCCACAAACAGCCAGAGCTGCACTGCAGAGACTTCCAGACCGGAAACACCCGCCTGAAGTGATGCATTGGGGCGCTGTTTGTCTCTGCTTTGTTTCAGAAGTATTTCAGGTTTGATTGACAGGAGAGGCTCAGCACAGATATCATGTGATCTCTGACACAGACTGCAGATCTATTGGACGATAATGTCAGGTGACTGTGATTGTGAACTCTGTTCTCCTGCGGTGATCTCCAGCAGCGCAGCTTCATCTCTGGCAGATTGCTAGCCTGTCTGCTCTTGCAGGTTCAGTGTTTGCAGACAGGTGCAGGTGCAGTTATTCCACGCGTCTTTGAAAGATTTTCCACAGATGATAGTCAGAAACAGTGTTGTTCTGACAAACACCGCATCATTTACTGGCCACAATCTCTACAGGCTCTGAGCCTTTTAACCATTTTGGGCACATTTTGTAACAAGATTTTTTTGTGCACATCCAGATATATGTTTTTAATAAAGGCAAATGTAGGATGGAAAAAAAACAGACGTCACTTCCTGTTTGTTGCTGCCGTGTGTTTTGAGTTTGAGCTCCGTCAAGTTAATTCTTTGTCATCTAATTTTTTATCTTAAAATCAATTTTATACACCATTTTCGTTTCTATATCGTGTGACCTATCGTATAACCTGAGACTCTGAGAGTCGGACTCATAACCCAAAGGTTGTGGGTTCGAGTCTCGTACCGGCAGGGATTGTAGGTGGGGGGAGTGAATGTACAGCACTCTCTCCCACCTGCAATACCACGACTGAGGTGCCCTTGAGCAAGGCACCGAACCCCAACTGCTCCCCGGGCGCCGCAGCATAAATGGCTGCCCACTGCTCCGGGTGTGTGTTCACGGTTTGTGTGTGTTCACTGCTGTGTGTGTGCACTTTGGATGGGTAAATGCAGAGCACTAATTCTGAGTATGGGTCACCATACTTGGCCACACGTCACTTCACTCACTTCACTCACTCACTCACCGTATTCTACAACAAAAACAATCAGAGCGCCTTGTTATCACTAGTTCTATTTTTGACTTCCCGAGTCCGCTATTAGCATATAGCCCGCTAGCATCGCCAGCGTGGTTGCCGCTAATCTCGCTTCCATTACTAATACACTATTCACTGTTACTTGTTTTAATGGCGGATGTGTGTCTACCTTTGAGTGCAGGTGAGGACACGTTCGAGCTGCATTCGGTGCAGCTCGAGCTGGAGGCCGTGGAGAAGCAGATCCATGACCTGGTGGCGAAGCAGACCCAGCTGAGAGCGCGGAGAGCCGCGCTGGAAACATCCCAGGCTGATGCTCACAAGTCCGGGGTAAGTATACAGCGCGCTGTTAACTCTCCCACCACCTCTACTCCGTGTGTTTCTCTGCACAGGCCCGGTGCACCCAGGACGCGATCTTCCCAGATGTCCTTCACTCCGGGGCTGGGACACCACGGACCCTTGGTGCACCCCCCACGGAAGACGCAAGCCAGGCCCCGGGTGACGACCTCTCCCCCTCTGCCGCCTCCGGTCTTCGAGATCTCCACCCGGAACCGCTTCGCTCCCCTCCGCGAGACGGAACGCGATGCTGTGATCATCGAAGACTCCATCGTCCGACACGTCCGTGCTACGTTAGCAGAAGGTAAAGTGCACACACACTATTTCCCTGGTGCTCGTGTTCTCGATGTTTCTGCGCAGATACCCGCGATCCTGAAGGACGACGAGAGCACTGGAGCGGTCGTGCTTCACACGGGGGCTAACGACACCAAGCTATGGCAGACGGAGACGGTGAAGAGGGACTTCAGGAGCCTGATCGAGATGGTGCGCCGCACATTGTCCGCGATGACGATCATCGTGTCAGGACCGCTTCCCACGTAGAAGGGTGACCTCTGGTGGCAATCGTACGGAAGTCCACGGACAGGATTCGTGACAATTATATATTAGAATTATATCTAGTACAATATTATAAATACCTTTAATTGCAATTTCTAACCAACTAATCAAAACTCATTTGTTAATATCAAAAAATATGTAGGTTAATGGAAGTATGAGTAGTTAAAATAGCATAACTCGATATCTTTAATGCCAACTACAGTAAGTCAAAATTGCATGATATCCGGAATTGGACAGGGAAATTAAATGATAAAATGACTTGCCATAGGTATGTCTGTGCACTATAACAACATTCAAAACAAGAGTATTTTTGTTCCTTAATTGCTCTTCATGTTTCAAGGCCTCTGGTTTTTAGGGAGATTCAATTTTCTGAATGAGCAATTGCCAAAAGAGATATGTTAATGTCAAGACTTGGCAAGACCTAAGGGAAAGTCAGTGGACAGAAAAATGCTGCTAGGGATTAACCACATAAATAAATTCTGACACATCAGTTCTCGATTCTGTATGTGTGTGTAAATCATCTCAGCTGTAGCGTTTATGTCCTGCAAGAAAGAGAAAAAAAGTGACACGGCAAACAGAGACTGAAGTTTGAAATCATTTTTATTCAGCACAGGTGTGTAAGGGATATTCATTCATTCATGTTCTTTTTTATTATTTTCTTTTATTATATCTCATATAACATTCTATATTTTAGCTCAGTAAGGACAGATAATCTCTTGCCATAGTAACAAAGTAATTTTACATTAGTAGTTCATTAGTAGTTGTAGAGTAAATCTAAAGATATATTTAGCATAATTTAGTGATATCCAGATTTATAGTGTCAGCAGTGTCAACAAGCTGACAACAATGACAATAATCCAGACACAGCTAAGCATATGAAGGGTTTATGAATCTTTCTCCAAATGTTTCTACTATACCATATCATATTCTACACCATCTTTAATTTCACAACACTTTATTCTCATATGAAAAATGAAAGTATCTGTATGGGTTACATTATGGAAACAGTCCCACTTTAAGTGGCATTAACTACTATGTACTTACATAAAAAAATAAGTACAATGTACTTATTGTGTTCATAGTGTATTGCAAAACACTTTTGTTGCTACTGAGGTGGGAAACGGATAAGGTTAGGTACAGGTTTGGTGGTATGGGTAGGTTTAAGACTGGGTTAAGGTGTAAGGGATGGGTCAACAGTGTAATTATAAATATAATTACAGATGTAATTACATGCAGGTATTTTTAAAATATAAGTACAATTTAAAAACATGTATGTACACAATAAGTGCATTGTACCGAATGATTAATTTAAATGTAAGTACATAGTAGTTAAGGCCAGTTAATATAAAGTGGACCATGGAAACTGGTAAAAATCAAAAATGTATCTTAAAGGTGACCAATTATGCCACTTTCTACAATATGTAATATAAGTCTCAGGTGTCCCCAGAATGTTTGTGAAGTTCCAGCTCAAAATACAGCACAGATCATGTATTATATAATTTTGAAAATGCCTATTTTGAGAGGAAGCAGAAACACGTGCATGTATCTTTAAATGCAAATGAGCTGCTGCTCCCCGCCCCCTTTCCACAATAGGGCTGTGCCTTTACAGCTTGTACTTTACAAACTCGTACTCACGCTAATCATGCATTTTAAAGCCATATTAGTTTAAACTTCACCATCCAGCTAGGTTCTTCTACAATTACCCCATCGACTTCGGTCAGAAATCTTGGTGTAGTTCCTGGCTGGCGGAACGATCTTCCCACCGCTATCCGGAATGCTGAATCCCTGACAATGTTCAAGAGACAGCTGAAAACTCATCTCTTTAAACGCTACTTAAGTTAATCTTAAAAAAATAAAAAATAAATAAAAATAAATGTTTCTTTCTCTTTATTTATTCCTTCCCTTTCTAGCTTGTACTTATTTGAACAATGCCTAAAACTTGGTATTGCGAGCAGTTCCTGTGTCTGTTTGCCTCTTTAAGAAGAATCGCTTTATGTATTCCCCAATTGTAAGTCAAATTGGGGAATGACTAAATGACTAAATGTAAATGTAAATGTAAACTTCTGATATAGGGTTTTATAGGGTCATAATGGTGATGCCTTAGGTGAAAAGGTGCAGATTAAGGGGCAGTAATATTATAATAAGATCCCTTTGCTATATCACAGAGGGAGCGAAATCTGACGCACTCTCAGACGCTTGCAGAAAAAGGCTTACCAAAAAAAAGTTACTGGGTTAATCTTTTTCACGTTTCCTGGGTTGGTAGATGCACCAGGCACCCGATTATAGCACTTAAAACTGGAAAAAATGTCAGATCTTCATGATATGTCACCTTTAACATCTAAAACGGTCACATTCCTCCAAACTAACCAAAATACGTGACTGTTATGCAACTGTGACATAATCTGATGACCAAACTTTTGTTGTGGCTACCGGAAAAGTGAAAAGTGAAATTTGGTATTGCGAGCAGTTCCTGTGTCTGTTTGCCTCTTTAAGAAGAATCGCTTTATGTATTCCCCAATTGTAAGTCAAATTGGGGAATGACTAAATGACTAAATGTAAATGTAAATGTAAACTTCTGATATAGGGTTTTATAGGGACATAATGGTGATGCCTTAGGTGAAAAGGTGCAGATTAAGGGGCAGTAATATTATAATAAGATCCCTTTGCTATATCACAGAGGGAGCGAAATCTGACGCACTCTCAGACGCTTGCAGAAAAAGGCTTACCAAAAAAAAGTTACTGGGTTAATCTTTTTCACGTTTCCTGGGTTGGTAGATGCACCAGGCACCCGATTATAGCACTTAAAACTGGAAAAAATGTCAGATCTTCATGATATGTCACCTTTAACATCTAAAACGGTCACATTCCTCCAAACTAACCAAAATACGTGACTGTTATGCAACTGTGACATAATCTGATGACCAAACTTTTGTTGTGGCTACCGGAAAAGTGAAAAGTGAAATTCAGTTTCTGTGTTGCCACAATGTAACTTTATTCATCCTTTTTACGGGGGTGGTGAGAGAAAAACACAGACATTCTTGATTCAGACGGCATTAAAATCACCAACTCTAACCCTGTAAATGGTGAAAATCCCTTACGTCCCCCTGAGAAACAATTACCGTCCGAATAGGGCTTATGTCAACATGATAAACATATGCACGCATGCCACCCACATGCTGCAGCCCATTCATGTCTAATGATGACAAATACATAAACTGTAAACTGAACCAAATTACACAAATCACAACCACATCCCCACCCCCACTAAATCTCAACACATTTAATGTTATTTGTTATGTGTAATGGCTATGCTCTGCTCAATTTTGTCATTTCATCTAAATATCAACATTTGTAAGTAACTTTAACAAACTTTTGGATTTGTGTGAAACACATTAATCTTTATGACCACTGACACTCCCTCACATACAGTCTCTCTAACATAAAGGCTAAAAAAAAATCAGTGTGTGTATTGTTATGTGAATTAGTGTGCATGATGATTATCACATACTTTTGTAACTCTAGACTACAAAATCCAGCACTCAAAATTCTTGCAAACAAATGTTTAGTATGTGTTTTATGTTCTATTTCAGTGAGTTGATTTTCTCAGAAATACAAATGTGTACATACTGTACATGCTGCTCACATATTAATGTAGCACAGTTTATGCTGAATACAGTGTAATCAGACTTTAGCCATTCAAATGTTAAAACAAACTGAAATAAGCACATGTACCCAGAATGTGCATAAGGGCTTTTGTGCTGCTCTGCACTGGAGCTTTTCGTACTGCTATTTTCAAACAAAGATAATAAATTTTTACCCTATATTTTTGTTGTATCAAATCTATAATGTCTACTGTCCTACTGAACAATTGCAGAATACAATCCAAAGAAAAAATGTTAGTAGTATGCATGAAGTAGTAATAACTATCACAATTGTATCATTCATAAGATTCTAAGAATGTTTGTGTAATTGTAATTTTTAAAGTGAAGAATTTACCAGAAGTAGCAGTAAGGGATCTACACTCGCATTCACTTGTTTCAGATGTTACAAAATTATTGCTGTTTTGGGGTGTGTTAGATATCATCACTCCTCATTAGCCACACCCAAAATATATTCTTAATTTTCTAAACAATAATCTAAATTATTTTAATAATGTATCGTCAAGAGGGTTTGCAGATTACACACAGCAATTATGTATGAACTAGGTGGAAAAGAGAGAGAACATTTAAAATGTTCAAAAAATTGTAAACAGAATGGAACAGTATATCACCAACAGGTTCAGGAGACCTCAAGGAATCAGAGGCAAAACATCATTATCATTATACACAGTTTCAGAATTATTAACGAAAATTTAAATTTGATTACTATTATACCTTTACCCAAAGATGGACATGTGTATGTAAACCTGAATGTTGGTGCTATACAGGGCCATCATACGAAGTTTAGGGGCTCTGCAATATACATTCTCTGATTCCCAAAATGTTTTAGAAGTAGTAGTAGTAGTAGCAGAAGAAGAAGAATAAGGTTCAAGAACCTACTTTGTTTTGACCCCTAAAAAACTTCAGTTCAGTCACTCCAGTATTGGTAGGTATGTTAAAAAAAAACGTTAGAATCCTTTTGTTATTCTCAGGTCAGAATGAGGTCTCGTCAGCTGCTGCTCCCAGCCAGGGTGACAGTGGCAGGAGATGCGGCCCCGCATCATGAGTTTGACTCATGCAAGGGTCAAATATGGTAGACTCCAGTGAGCTGAGTGAGCCCGTTACAGACCCTGTCCCTTCAAAGGCATATGTGTGCAGACAGTCAAAGGGTGGAAGGTATGGGTCTTCATCTGCCTCAGCCAGCCGGTCCATGATAAACTGTTGAAAGACTGTGTCTTCTGGGCCAATGAGGTGAGACTGACGCAGAGACATGCGGATACTGGTGGTGACCTCCTCCCGACAGAGCTTGCGCTCTCGCCGACGTGGGTGCCGGAGAGGAACTGTTTGGGTGGACTCTGTCTCTGGGATGGCAAAACTCAAGATTTTATCTGAGAACTCCACTGTTTCCAACTCTTGTGTTGCCATTTTCTCCTGCCGTAATGTCTTGTACTTTCTCACAGCTAGCACTAGTGTGGACAGCACTGCAGGGCAAGCCAGAGAGAGAACAGGTTTTACTATGCTTTTAAAACTAACACTTATTAAACCAGATTTAATTTTTAAAAAATCTTACCAGGGTCAGCTCCATAACTTCATTAAAACATTAATTAACATAAAACTATATTAATATAATAATTAATCCACACAACATCTATAGTAAGGTTGCCAACTAAAATAAGTCCTCATCTTCTTTTTAGGAACACGAGAAACACTCCCTATTTCTTTATATTACATACACTATTTGAGATTTAAGGTAAACCATTTGTGACAACTGAAAAACAAAACAAAATGCTACATTGTCACAGTGCATGTCTGCAGAAACATGTGTGAATAATTTTAAGAATAGATTTCCAGAAAGATTAAATATGCTCACACAAGAGCATCTCAAAAGTAATGCATCAAACACTTACCCATTCATTGCAGCTTTTGACCATCATTAAGAAGTTTGTTTTCAGAAAAGTTTGATTATTATCTGATTATTATTACATTTTGAAACATTCTATGTGATATTTTCCTTATAAGTAGGACATTATTTGTCTTTTTGGTCAATTGTGACTGGTTTACAAACGAATGAACAGTACATCTCACAACATAAGCTTTGCAAACAAACTTTTTCTAGGTCAATGCTTTATTTCAGACCCAACAATAATGCTGCAACACACTGTAATGGCTGGAAAAATCAGACACATCATTATTTGTTATATCTAACAAATAATCCAACAACCCACACCCAACAAGCCAATCATGAGGGTCTATGTGACCCTCCCCCGAATGCAAATAACTGAAATGGACAGAATAGACATCTGGTTACCACAGTAACTGTTGCAAAAGGAATTGAATATGTCTAGCCACTAGATGGAGGTATGTGAATGTATTTACTGTAAATGTGAGAGACCATAGCTGAAGAAAAGAGCGTAAAAGACAAATGCACTGCAATGCCCTTATGTCTGTCTCTTTGTTTTAATGGAATCAGCTACAACTGAGCAATGGTTTCTACAGTAACTATATAAACTTTACGACCTAATGGAATGTAGAGAGAGACTCCTTCTCACTTAATTCACTTTGAAACAGACTCATACTGCCCATAGAAAAGGACTTCTTTCATTAATTCATATACAAACCTTTCTATGAATGAACATGCATATCCCCAAGCCATTGTGTATATTATTGCTGTTTTTGTATATTGTCTTTTGTATTGTATACTGTTTTATGCATGCTTTATGATAGAACTATTAATTAATGTAGCTTCACCTATACCATTTTTTGGTATGTACGAAATAGTATTTTGATTATCTAAATGATAGTGTGTATTATAGATTGATACCTATGCAAAAAAATTGTATTATAAGTATTTATAATAGTCTTTGCATCAACACCCAATCCAGTTACATATGCAAAATACCATGTTCAAAGACAAAGGATCGTAAACTTTCCCTCCGAAAGTTTAAGTTACCATTGGCTCACAGACCTCCTGGAGGTGTGACCTCCACAGAAGTTAATCCGCACTGTTGGAGTGATCTTGCGCTCGTATCTCTTCTTCTGCTCTTACTGCTCTTATACGTTCAGTCCGACCGTGATGCCGTGGGACCTCCCCTGCGCCAGCAGGTCTCCAAACTTTCTACCTGAGAGAACTCTCCCGACCACAACTGAGTCAGAAGAACATCTTTGAAGCTATCATTCTTCAACCTAGAAGAATTGGATCGTAACTTCAACACCATCAAACCATCAAGACTTTCATCCGAGACTGCATTCGGACGCTGGTTCAACTACCAAGGCAATGGAAGTATCGTGTATTTAACTAAACGAAACAGAGGTTTAGTATAAGTATAAGTAGACCCCTTTGTTAGAAAGGTACTGATTGGTTTATGCTCCTTATCATTGCTTTTCCATAGCTTCATTTTCTGGTTTCTAACGGTTTCGTTCATTCATTTGTATTTCCCCGCCTTTTTCCTATGTATATATGAGTGAGTGAGTGTATATGTGTTACGGGGCTGACGAGACGTGAGACTTGCGGATCCATTCGCAGAGCTTTATTGAAACGAAGACAGAGACGTGGTCATACAGCAGGCATGGGTCAGATGAGGGCAAACAGGTATATGGTGGGCAAAACACAAGAATAGTCCTAGAGCTAGCACAGGTCGACGATCGGCAGATAGAATCAAAAGGGGCAAGACAAAAGGGGTGAATCCAGGGAACCAGGCGAAAATCAGAAACCGGGAAGGCTAAGGCTAAGGCTAAGGTAAATGACTAGGGCTAAGGCTAAGGCTAAGGCAAACGACTAAGGCTAAGGCTAAGGCTAAGACAAACGGCTAAGGCTAAGGCTATGACAAGGACTCCGTAAAGTAGCTATCTCTAGGAGAGTGATAAATGCTGAAACAATACTCGGCAGAGGGAAGGGATCAGAGTGAGTGTTAAATAGTGAGGGAGTGATATGAAACAGCTGGGTGCAATCAGTGTAAACAGGTGTGTGCAATTCGTGCTGAGTGCAATCAGTGCAATGCATGATGGGAAATGTAGTCCGGGGTGATGTGCAACAGTGTGTAGTGCGAGAGTCAATGAATAGGAAAGTTCGTTGACCGGATTCGTGACAATATGTTTATTTAGACTAGTTATGTGTTAGTGTTTAGTTAAAACTTTTGTGCACAAATTTCATGAGTTTGGTTTTTGTGGTTAGTGCTTGTAGACAAAGTAAATTTAATGAGCCGATCTTGCTACATGCTCTAATGCATTAGTACTATCAGAAAGATGTTTTCTGTGGCCACGAAAACATAATTTCTTAGCGATGATATGAAATTACGAACAGATTAGTTCATTGTAATATAAATTCTGCTTCAGTTACTTCTGGTAGCTGATATAAATAATTATTAATAATACTTTTGTTAATACTAAATCTTCATCTGTGATCAATGATTGTTTTAGTATGCAAGAATTCATGAGCAGTCAGACATTGTTTGTCACAAAACTGTGATCAGGGCTCCTGCACAAAGCTATCATGCTTCACATTACAAACCCATTAGGTAAAAAATAAAGTATACTTGAATGCACTAAAAATACTTAAATACAAGCAAGTACATTTGTAGTACATTCTTTTTTTGTGCTAAATAAAATTTTAAAAGTTCTACACTATAAATACACGAATTAAATTTATATTTCTACTTCAGTAGTACTTCAGTGCACTTGAAAAAGTATATGAAATTTTAAGATACTCAAAAAAGATTTGTAGTGCATTGAAATAGTGTACTACCGCAAAAAATAAATAAATAAATAAATAAATAAGTTTTATTAGTGTATTTCTTAAAACTGTGCTTTGAATGCTTTAAAAAATAAGTTCAATCTTAGTAGACTTTTGTATAGATCTAAACTTAAATTTAATTGATTTTGTAAAAATATATTACTAATGTACTAGTTATAAGCACATTTTCCCAATTGTGGTACTTAACTACACTTAATATAAATGCACTAAGTGTAGTCAGATAAAGTAAACCAAATAAACATGTAGTTAAGTATATCATATAAAGGGTAATATTAACATAGTTACAATACATTTGAATGAATTATTTAATGTATAAAAGTATGTGGACAATACATTATGAATACATTTTGTATATATTTATTATATATTATTTGTATATTTAAAATAATACACACATTGTGGCTATTTATTTATTTATTTAAAAAATATTTTTTATTATGTTATAATTTGTATTTATATGTGTGTGTATATATATATATACTTTTTTTTTTGGATCAGTGTATCAGTGTCCTGATTGATCATGTGATCTCTTTAATTATCATGTGATTCCTCAAATTAAGATGGCTCCCAGTTTTAACATTAGGTGCGTTCGACTTGAAGCACGGCTACAGACGGCAGTCAACGAGGGTAGCCGCTTTTAGTCGGGGACGGAGTTGAAAACGGAGCCGTCAAGCCGGACACTTTCTGCTCCCGTTAGTGACGCTCGCGCGGTGTTTGCATACTCTATCACAGATGAAGTTAATTAAATGCAATATTTGTCAAATACACAGACGTTTCAGAAACGTTTTCATGAGCAACAGAAACACTTTTTATATACTGCTTAATACAGCGCCATCTGTTCAAGAATAAAGTTCAACGTGAATATATACTATTTACATACTAATAAAGGGGGGGTATATATGCTTTCATGATAAACGTGACTCAATATAACATTGCGACTACAGTAAAAAAGCTTTTAATGTTCTAAAAACACAGATTTATGAGCAGTATTGGATTTGAAGATGTTAGAAACACACATCATTGTTGTCATGTGGTGAATTTGGCCAATCGTGAAACAGCTGTGTCGTCATCAGCGCTCCTGCAGTCGCTCTGGAGAAACTGCGCCAGCTGAGTCAGCCGGCTGCTCTTGAAACGCTCTCGCGGTACTTTGATGCCACACGTGACAGTGACGTAGCGTCGGCGCCGGTTCAAGTTGGACTAAATTTCTAACCGGCATGCACTGCTTCAAGTCAGCCGCCGATTGGTCTGCGCAGTGCTGCATAAAATCGAACGCACCTAATGTTAGCTTGGCACTGAAAATGGTCAACATGTGACCGAAATGTTTGCCTTGTTTCACTCAGTAAATGGCTTATATTGTTCTCATCTCGCTTGTGACTCTTTGATTTTTGTGTGCAGACTTTTTTCAAGCTCTTCACCTTTGGGAAACTTTTTTGGTCTACGCACCTCAGTTGGATTATTTTGAAGGCGCGGTGAGTCTCTGGCTGCTTCTTCTATATTTTAAATAATTAATCAGTCTATTTTCTATGATGAGTATGTTTAAAAGTGTATGAAAGATGGGTTCAAGTGTACTACAAGTGGTAACTAAATAATGTTTTTTAATACAGAGATAGTATGTTAAAAACACATTTTAGTTCATAATCGTGGTGTCTCAAAATAGCACAGTTGGGTACACTTAGATGTTCTTAAGATTATCTTAAGAAGTAATAAAGAATGATTTTTTGTATATTAAGAACAAAATTAGTGCATGAAAGTAGACCAATTTAAGTACATTATGGAAGTGTACTAAATGTACTGAAATAAAGTGTATTTTAGTGCACTTTTTTCACCTGGGTGAGCATATAGGGGAAAACTTGACGCACACACACTCTCGCCCCTTGTCCAAATACCCACACTTGCGGTCTTGGCCACTTGAGAGCACGTGCGCGCGACAGGAAGTAAGTGCGCAAGACTGTCCCAGATCTTAAAAACGCCGAAGCGCAGTCCCCTTAAAGGGGTCCTATTATGCTTTTTCATTTTTTAATTTTAGTCAGTGTGTAGTGTGTATGTTTGGGCATAAAAAAGATCTAGAAAGTTACAAATCTCAAAGTCCACTCCAAAGGGAGATATTTCGTTTTTAAAAAATCAATTTTCAAGAACTACAGCAAACGTTTTTTGGACTACAGCGTTTGTTTTCCGGGCTTTATGATAACACAAAGCGGCTCATTAGAATTTCATTACAAAGAATTCCCGCCTACAGAAATGTGAATGGTTGGGGGG